ATCTCTGTTGGCATCTCTTCAAACATTCCGCAACCTGTAAAAATCTTAAGGTTAATAGATGCATAAAATGTAAACGGAAATGAATTTACTTAATAAACATAAGACATATCAAAAGATGGATAATGTTTACATTTATCTAAATTAACAGGTATCGGGAAATATAAGACATACACAATATATTCACCAAACAAATTTTATGTGTTGTTTTATAACAAGTCTACAACCAATTCAAATTATTTCTTTAATCAGTACTCACACTTACTTACGTGAATCTTTTACGGAATCTGAGGGAAAATGAGGAACAACCATATCGCCGTTGAACTCCTAATAGTATTGTCCTAGAAAAGACTTAGCGTACATGTTTAAAAACAAACGTTAATGGCATTGAAATTTCAGAGCATCTTTTAATATTTTCCATAAAAAGTTTAATGACATCACTTTAAGATAGTCTCTTTATAAATATCTTAATTCTATCCAATTAGAACTCAACTTCGTCACGTTTGCTACTCCCATCTTGCTGTCTGTTTTAAATAGGCGTGTTCTATTTCAGTAACACACATCTTAATATATTTTCTTCTTTTCCTTTACTCTTATGTAATTCCCTTTAATGTCGCCTCGTTTAATTTTTAATTGGATCCCTAATATTCTTACCAAAAGGGAATCCATTTCCTCTAAATAAGATACTATGCTTCAACTTTTTATCTGACGCGACCTCGTAAGTCTTCTACTTCAAATAACTCATCAGTGGTCTGGGACAAATTCGCTTGTCCTGCAGTCTCATTTTCTCGTTTTTCTTCATTTTGCTATTTTTTTCTTACTCTCTTTGTTTATGGGCAAAGTTAGCAACGAAGCCCTGGAGTTATTTTGGAGGAACTTTCCTTGTCAAACATTCAACACAAGAACGAACATAATGACATCTGTAAATGACCTTTTCTAAAAAGTACTTCGTGTGCGTAATAGTAACTACGTGTTTTGAATAACCTTATGACCGATTGCGTTGTCGTGTAAACTAGACAAAACTTTGTACTCTAACTTGTCTGAAAAACAAGTTGCAAAGAACCTCCTGGGTGGGGTGATTTCTGCCATCAATTATCACGTTATCTCCCATCTCTAACAACAAGAAGCCGAGCGCCTTTGCAACTAAGTAGAAGTTCGTCTAATGTCAAGTATGTGATAATTGACGCAAAATTCTTATCTTTACGTTGGACTTTTTAAAACAATTCCTCTTTAAAACAAATGCCTCGCAATCTTGACATTTTGACAACGTCATATTTTTGTCACCTTTCTCTAAATGTTAAAAGCATTCCAGACCTTTAAATTCGTTGCCACTCTGTTTTAAATTAACGTAAAGTACTTGTGCCGAGATAGTGTCTAACATATGTATTCTGTTTAAACATGCATCATTAAAAAAACTGTGCAGGGTCATTATGTTTTTTAAGTCTTATTCTTCAACGTTTTCCTCATGGTAAGGGCGGCGGTTAATCGCAAAAAGCATTCGCGAGGTGTTTACCTTTACTCTGCTTAATTGAAATCTGTTAAGGGATAAAATAAATAACCAATAATTCATTACTTCTAGAAATTCGATTACATTCAATTGGGCATGGAATTCTGGCACTGCCTTACACTTAATCAACGCGAAACTACATGTATGTACCCTTAATACCTGACCTCTTCTCGCGCAATGAAACTATTCAGATAATGCTAAGTTTGCATTTCTCAGCCTTCGTAAAACTATGTTTACCTCACTAAGGCAATGTTTGAAATTGTGGCTGTCTACCATAAAGTCATCGAAATATCGCAAAAAGCATTTTCTAAAATAATCGTTTAAAGCAATTGTCTTACCTTCCATGTTATGTTTGTCCAATTCCAATCTCCCATCTAGATACTTTGTGTTCGCCTGCGTATTTTCGTCCGGTGATCGTTCTCTCTCTTTCCGACAAGACTCATGATGTCAAACATCTAT